CTGCAGTAGCTGGCGGCATGACAACAGGAGCATGTGGTATGGGTACAGCTACAGTGGCTTGTGAAGTGGCTGTATGCAGCAGATGCCTGCTAGATGCCATAGCTGTTCTTGATGACCAACTCTGCTGCTGTTGCTGATAATGATGGTGATGCTGATGCTGCTGCGGCTGGTGGTACTGTGGGTACTGCTGTGGTTGCTGATAATGCTGAAAACGCTGTTGCTGCTGGTATGACTGTGGCTGCTGAAACGATTGTTGCTGTTGGTACGAAGTTTGCAGCTGAATATGATTTTGCTCGTGGTTCACGTAATGCTGTTGCTGCTGCTGATGTTTCTGCTGAGGTAGATCCTGCTGCTGCTGGTGATGCAGCTGCCAGCGATCCTGCTCCCGAACAACAGGGGCTCTGCTCTCACCCCACATGCTTCTTCCCTGCTGATACATCCTCTTCATCTCAACGTTCCTGCTTGCCCGTGGGCTTGCAGCCCCGTACTTCCCCTTCGCAACGTCACCATGTCGAGGCTGCATGCTGTAACCCTGCTGAGAGTGAGTCCGCTGCTGGTGGTGATGGTGGTGGTGATCAGAGGACGTGCAGGTCACATGCTTGGAGCAACGGTATTCTTTGTCCCTCCCTGACTCTCGGCCACCCACAGCACCCTGCACTTGACCACCACTTTTTGCCACTTCCTCGAATCCTTTTGAGTTACCATGCCCCTGGCCTTTCCTGTCCACTTCCTTGCTTCTTGACTGGCACCTGACCGTTCCTGCGTTGACTGACAAAGTACTCAATGGAAACTGTGCCTCCCTGACTGTCTCACTTCTCTCCCCATGATCAGACTTCCCGCTATTCACATGATGGTTGCTCTTTCCACTTCCTGCAGCTTCTGCACGCACGTCCCTTTGCTCTCCATCGGCACGTACCACCAGCCTCTGCATTGCCGCCGCTGCTGCTTCTCCCTCTGCCATCCTTCCAGCCTGACCATAATATACTCCACCACCAGTATCACCCATCGCAGGGAATCTGCCATGTGCACCTGCTCCAGATGCCATCATCCCTGGCGGAGCCAACATCGTGTTGTTACCTGCCATATGATATGGTCTCCTGCTGCCTAAGTGAGCATAATAATTGTTGGGAAAACCTGGTCGCCCTGGCAATCGTCTTGTGGGTGTCCTTATTCCTAGCCTCTTTCGACGAACGCTGCGAGCCTTGTCTCCTCGTGCGTGCTTCTCTCCAATAACAGCGACTCGCTCCGCCTCATTGGCCCATTTCTGTGATCACAAAAGACAGGGGTTGAAGGCGATTGGTCAGGAGGACCTCAGGAAATAATTAAGGTGTAAGAATTCATCGGGGGAGAAATCCGTTGAGAGCGACGGAGAAAGCGTGAGCGTTTGCAGCAGGTGCACAACCACAAATGTTTTTTTCCTGAGATTGTTGAGAGCAAGGGAGAAAGCTTGAGCCTTTGCAACAGGTGTACAACCACGAATGTGCTTTCTTGAGAAGATTATTTGACAAAGCTTACTTGTCGAAACGTTTTGTGTTTATACAGAAATCTCCCCTTTACAAGAAGCTGCTTCATAGGCGGTAGCGCCTGTAGCCCAGTGCTCCAAATCACCTCAACCTGAAATCCAAAGAAACGGGTTATCAGAGAAGAAGGGGATCAAAACTAACGAACGTGCTCCAGAAAGCTAGCAAGAATCCTTGTTACCATCTGACTGACGAAAAACGAGTTGCTTACAGTGAAGGTGTGCTGTTGCCTCTTTTCACCATAGCTCTCCATGACCACCCTACCTGCCACCATCCGACACCCAAGGCACTTCGACTTCTTGCTGTGTCTGCACGGACAATTCAATGTGATGCGAGGCGGATTACAATTACGTTCATGTGGGAAACAGGTAGGACAGGAAGAAGATGGATCTTAATCGAGGCTCACCCTTTGAATATTCGCTGTCTAAAAAGGACGACATCCCTCCGGCAAACATCGCCTGCAAGAAGTTTAAACACGAAAGATAAAATGAGCTCGTTGGAATAGGCCACATGCTGTCAGGAGTGTCATTCTTTGATCGTGGTGCGTACAGGATTCTGGACGTCGATGTGTATTACTAAGTTTTTACATTGAAATGCTCTGATCACCTGTGCAATTGATGGAGAAGGAAGAAGGTGGGTACTTTCGCATGGCTGACGCGACATCCTTGATTCTGTAGGAATTAAAGTCAGACAGAACAAGGCACGTGATGACGGTTAGTGTACTCATCTGTCAATGATCAGCTAGTCGAGTTCTTGTACAAAGCCGTGCACAGGGTATTCGCCGCCGGAGAATAGTGACAACTTACTCCGCGTGCTCCTGAATGCGACTGATCAGTTCTGACTTTAGTCCGCTCATTCTCAAAGAGTGATGTCTCAGGTAAGCTTTGCACAGCTCAACGGTCAGTTTGCTCCAGTCTCCCGCTGTCGACGGAAACAACAGATGGTCAGACCAGCAGCAAGCTAGAATGTGATAGAAAGCAAGGCCGGCTTGTATACTAGCGAATTCTTATCAACAATGGGTTAGTACGAAGCTTAGAAAACAACAAATAACTCACCCTGAATCAGCAATAAAGACTTGTCGTAAGCACTGGAAGACGAAGAGCATGTATCATCGGTCGTATCGTCGCCAGTCTTCTTCCTCGAACTCTTGGAGCTAACAGGCTTTGAAATTTTGCTTTTCGATGTTGTCTTATTTTCCGAGTCGTTGTCTGAAAGCGCTTCGGCGTCATCCACCTCCCAGCAGCTATCATCGCTGTCACTGTCGCTGCTGCTTTCGCTGCCGTTGTCGCTGGCCGTCTCACTTTCATCGTCAATAAGCAAAATAGACTCGGCTTTTGACTCTTCATCCGTCATTGTTCTGCCAATCGTCCACGCTGTCAAAGTAGGACAACGCTGAGCGGTTTTTACCAATCGTGCAAGCGAGTACAAACTACTGACTATTTTATGCGCAACCTAAGTCGTGCGCCACCCTGGAACGCAATTACATGGTAACTTTCAAAGCTGGACGCATCAGTAGTAGTTCTTCCTTTGAGCTATTCGCTGAGCAATTGCTACACGAAATTCCGCCGTGAAGGCTATCTTTGAAGAAAGGCTGCAAGGAAGTAAATTTGGCTGATAGGCTGAAAGGAAGGCAGCTGAAGGCAACGCAAATTTAGAATCCTTATGCTGTGCAATCCCGAGGCTGAATGGCACTGAGGATGGAATGGGAGGCCAAGTGTGTGCCGTTGCTCCTGAGGATGGTCAGCCACGGTAAATCATACATCACATGAATCATGGATCATGATCCATGATGATCCCTTTCCATGACCCCATTCCCTGGACCAGAGATGTTTCCATGACCCCATCCCCATCCAAAGCATGCGCACGATGCTCGAAAAATCTTTCTGAAACGAATTGTGTTTGTGTTGGGTCTGTTGTTAGTGCTGACGCTAAAGGAGCAGATTGACGGTGCGGATGGGATGGAAAGGCGTGACGCGAAATCTCGGCAGTTGGTTCGTTCCAAGCCATCTTTCCCCAGTTTGCCAACCAAGCCTGGTGGCGTCTCTGACAAGCGCGACTGCTTCGGGTTCGAAAAGGCGAGGGAAAACGGAGCAAGTGCACAGTACAGTACACGCATCCAATGTGCGTGATTCGTCTTTGCACCTTGGCGTGTGCAAAGTGCTGCACAAACTCGACGTCGAGCAACGTCGGTGAATTTCCACCCTCGGATCAAAGATTCCGACCGTCAGGATTCACCGACGTTCCTCAACGTCGAGTTTGTGCAGCACTTTGTACACGCCATTACCTTTAGGCATTGAGCATTGAATCAAGCGTCGTGATGGTGCGTCAGCTCGATTTCATCAGATCTGCACCCTTCCCCGCCAAAACAAATATCAAGTTCAACCCCCCACCCCATCGTCTCATATCACAGCAGCACCAGAAAATGACGAGACAAGAAGAACAGCTCCAAAATGGATGTTGCCGCTTTGTTAGCTTCGGCACTTCCTTTCAGAGAAGCCGACATGGCTCACATTTGGAGCTAGATCTGGTCACTAGTACTAGTTACAAGGTTTCATAAATAGTACTCAGTTTTTGTTGCAAGTACTTGACAGGCTGTGCACGCTAAATTAAACGGCAGAGCATCCGGTGAAAAAAACATCATGACGGTTGACGCTCCTAATTGCGCGACTAATTGGCTCGTCGGCCACAAAGGTGAAACCGTCCACGACAAGCCGACTCCCAATGTCAAGGCTACCGAAACGGGGAGTGGAGCGAGCTCGAGAAGCAACGCACCAGAAGCCGCGGGCGTGCGGGCTCTGAGAAACAGAACGGTTCACACTGGATGCTCCACATCCGACGTTTACGCCAAGGCGTTGTCCTTGATCCGAGGTACACTTTATACACCGCCTCTAGGTTGACTTTTGAGTCGACCTACAATTATCCTCGATACAAGGTACGCGCCGTGGATTGCTGTTGGCATCCATTCAAAGCCTTTGCTGTTCCGAATTTCAAACCGTCACTTGTCAAATCACAAATGTTGTGCTTTCCAAAGTGTTGTTACGTCTCGTAACTAAGTATATCATGCGCGTCACGTCTGTCATGTGCTCGTGCGCTTGGCAGCGGGCGAGTGGAGCGAGATGACCGTTGGGCAGTGCCAGGCGTACCTGAGGTTCCACCGCCTGCGAGTGAGCGGCGCCAAGCCCGTCCTCGTCAGCCGCATCCAAGAGCATCTCGAGTAAGTTTGTCCGCCTTGTAAGCTGATTCTAACTCCGCCTCCCCACTTCCTCCTCTTCTCTCTCCGTCCTTCCCGGTTCCCCCGAACCAAACACTCTGGCGAAGAGCAATGTTCAGTGTGGGAATATTTCCATGTTCGTGCCTTTCAAGATTCGCACGAAAGCATTCTAATGTATTCCTGTATGATGAAGCAGAGAACGCTTTCACTGTGACTGGAAAAGCCATCCGTGTCCGTTTCTGTCTCTCCTCGGCTTATCAGGATCATCGATGTCGCGTCAGCCATGCGCAAGTATCCGCCCGAATCCTTCTCCATTCACTGCTAAGGTACGTACCACCTCTAACCCCCTCGCCCTCTCTCCCCGTCGCCCTCTCACCTCCTCGCCCCTTCGCCCCCTGCGCCCGCAACCCCGCGTGATTCTTGAGTCAACTCTGGCCGTTCACCCCTCCCTTAGATCCCTTCCTCCCAACCGCATTCATGCAGATGGTACTAGCATTTCTTCCTTTCCTCTAGTACGGCACTTGAAAGAGCTTTGAGACGTCTAGACATCTGAAATGGCTCTTACATCGCACCTTGTGCTTAACCGCAATCACTATACACCGCACAGTCAAGCACTCGATGGCGAACCAGGTACACTTCCGGTTTGAGACTTTTCTTCTTGAGACACTCGTTTCCTCTATGTGCCTTTGGTTTTTATGCTCCACTGTGCTCATGTCCATGCAGGCGACGTGTGCAGGAATGACGTGGTGCTCTTCAAGCAGTGCCTCTTCAAAGGGTGAGACCCCCTTTCTGCTTCATTCCACAACCGATTGTTTTTCAGACCAAGTGCCTGACCCCGTTCTAGGCCGCGTTTACATTGCGCGAAATGGTGCGTGCAGGCACAAGAGAACCTGTCCGGGGTGTCTTCAAGTGGCGGGGCGGGTGATCATCGAGAGTTACGGCGAATTGAAGCAGCAGCACACCTTCACTGTAAGCACGTTCGCGTCTATCAAGAGTGAACTTATGGAAATAGAAGTGATCATGTGCTTGTGTATGGTAATTGCGGCTACTTGCTGTTGAGGCTCATGGACTCGAGGCCCGGGTATTACAATTTCAGCGTGCCAGCTATCCATTTGAGGTCCTTCAGGATACCATTCATGTGCCCCAGTAAGAACTTTGTTATTCTGTACTTTTTTATTTTGATGTTTGAATTTCAATCACAGGTGGAAGTGCTCTGGAGCTCGGGCTTGCAGCCTTTGCCGCCACTCAAGCAGCACATGCTGAAGGGGAGAAAGCTGTACGGGTTTTCAACGCACCGCCAGGTGAGCTTACCTTTTGAGACGCCATATTTGGCAAATCTCAAGAAACTTGCAGCGTGGGAGCTCAATCAAATGTGACGCGTTAGCATAACGGCTGTAGCTCTTTCCTCTGTTCTCTTAGCCCTGGACCAATGCGTCGCAGTGCTGGCTGAATAGAACACGAGAGGAGATGTGGCCCGCAGTGTTCGCAACGTGCGCGAGGCCCTTTTCCTCAATAGTTCCTCATTCCCTGTTCTTCCCTTTGCCATGCGTGCAGCCTAGGAGCAACGAGGCGGAGAGGGTTGCTGTACTGGAAGAGAAGCACGCTAGAGGAGGCGCAGCTTGCACCGTTCGCAACGTGCGCAAGGAGAGGGTTCGGGTGGAGAGGCGAGCAGCTTCCTCAGTGGTTCCTCACTCTCTGTTCTCCCCTGCCCTTTTACAGCCTTGGCCCAACGAAGCGGAGAGAATCGCAGTGCTGGCCGAAAAACACGCGAGGGGAGGCGCAGCTCGCAGTGTTCGCAGCGTGCGCAAGGAGAGGGTTCGGGTGGCGAGGCGCGCAGCAGCACGGAAGGCCGCAGGAGAGGTAGCTGTGGAAGAAAAGTGTCATTCTCCTCAATGGATCCCCATTCTCTGTTGTTCCCCCCCATGCGTGCAGCCTTGGCCAAACGAGGCGGAGAGGGTGGCAGTCCTGGCTGAAAAACACGCGAGGGGAGGCGCAGCTCGCACCGTTCGCAACGTGCGCAAGGAGAGAGTTTGGGTGGAGAGGCGTGCAGCAGCACGGAAAGCAGCAGGCGAGGCAGCTGTGGAAGCTGCCGCGAAGGCGCTGCAAGGGTTGGTGATAGGGGGGCTGGTAGGTGCAGGGCGTGGGAGCGAAGGGCGGGCAGTGGAGGCGCGTGAACGGGCAGTGGAACATGCTGTGGGGAAATCAGGTGGTGTTGAGAATGATGCAGCTGCACGGAGAGTGGAACGGGCAGCTGAAGAGGCGAGAGCAGCTGAAGCGGAGAGAGCAGCTGAAGCGGCGAGAGCAGCTGAAGAGGCGAGAGCAGCTGAAGAGGCGAGAGCAGCTGAAGAGGCGAGAGCAGCTGAAGAGGCGAGAGCAGCTGAAGAGGCGAGAGCAGCTGAAGAGGCGAGAGCAGCTGAAGCAGCAGCAGCAGCGATGCAGCAACTGGCGATACGAGGAGTAGTGGGTGGTGCAGCTGGGGTGACTAGGACCAAAGGTCGAGGCAACCAAGCAAGAAAAGGAAAAGGTCCAAGAAGTTTCCGTCAGACCAACAACGGGAATGAGAGGGAGGAGTGGGAGAGGAGCCGAGAGCCTGCGACAACCAAAACGCCCTTGGGCAGTCAGCCAGTGAACGTGAGAGCAGTGAGATGTGACTCAAGGGACAGGGAGATACTGAAGCGGGAGAGGGCACGCGTGGGGAATGAGAAGGGGCGGGGAGCTGATGCAGTGGCGGGGAATGGCAGTCGTGTGGATTCAGGCGGGGGTGTGGAGCACCGTGGGGGTGCTGCTGTCCCGGGTATTGCTGGCCGCTCTGCTGTGCCAGGCGCTGTGCTGGTTGCTGCGGCAACTGGTTCGGCAAAGACTGGCTCGGCAAAGAACTGCCCAAGAGACGAGGTTCAGGCGAAGTTGAGGGTTGGGAGAAGCGCGCAGGTTGGGATGGTGCGAGGCTAGGTTGGTGGTATGATGGAAGTGGTGGTGCGTAGGAGTGGGGCAGTCCTGGTTGCATTGCGTTGTGAGGGTTTGGAGTGGGCATGTGCTGGCCTGAAGGGTTTGGCTGCTGATGCTGTGGCTGTCGCTGGAGTGGTGGCTGCAGCCCTTGCTGCTGCTGCTGCTGCTGCTGCGCCTGCTGCTGCTGATGGTGCTGCTGCTGGTGCTGCTGCTGTTGCTGTTGTCGCTGTTGTTGTTGCACCTGCTGCTGTTGCTGTTGCTGCTGCTGCTGCTGCTGCTGCTGCTGCTGCTGCTGCTGCTGCTGCTGCTGCTGCTGCTGCTGCTGCTGCTGCTGCTGCTGCTGCTGCTGCTGCTGCTGCTGCTGCTGCTGTTGCTGTTGCTGCATGTGCTGTTGCTGTTGGTGCGGTTGCTGCTGCTGGGTGTCTTGTTGTCGTTGCTGAGAATAACCCATCGCTCTCCCTCTCCCTCCTCTCCCTCCCCTCGATCCCCTCCCACCTCGCCCTCTCCCTCCCTCCCCGCCACCTGTCCCAATCCCACCATACCCCCCTCCACTCTGCTTCTGCTGCTGCCCTGAAGCTTGCACAGGCACAGCCACTGGACCCCTACTCGCCACCTGAGCACCCTGAAATCCCACCTGAGGCATCTGAAGGCCCACCTGAGGCATTTGAAGTGCCCCTGGGGACACCTGAAGGGCCACTGGAGGCGCTGCCCCTTGTTGCCCACCCACACCAGCAGCCCTCTGCATTACCCCTCCTCCTGCTGCTCCTCCTCCTCTCCCTCCACCTCCTCCCCCTCCTCTGCCTCCTCCTCCGCCGCCTCCTCCTCCACTCCCCCGCCCTCCACCCACCCCTTCAGGCATACCAGAACCAGTAGTACTAGTAGGTGCCATGCGAAACAGAGCTGATGGTAAGGAGAGCAGCCTGGGCACAGCAGTACCACTGCCACCCCCGCTGCCACTACCACCACCACTCCCACCACCACTGGCACCACCACCACCACCACCACCACCACCACCACCACCACCACCACCACCACCACCACCACCACCACCACCACCACCACCACCACCACCACCACCACCACCACCACCACCACCACCACCACCACCACCACCACCACCACCACCACCACCACCACCACCACCACCACCACCACCACCACCACCACCACCACCACCACCACCACCACCAACGGGAGAGGTGAAGGGAGTCAGACCAGAGATAGAGGCAGAGGCAGAGACAGGGCCAGAGAGAGAGACAGAGAAACAGACATGGATAGAGACAGAGGCAGAGGCAAAGAGCAGACGGAGATCCCGGACCCTTGCCTACCCAACCATCTGTGCCGGTGCAGAGCAGAGAGAGTGCAAGCTGGCATCCACCATGCGCTGCGCAAGGAGTGCGCCCGCATTGCAAGGGAAGCGGGCTTCGGCGTTCAGGTGGACCCGACCCTTTACTTAGCCGGCATTGAGCTGGACGGCTTGCAGACGGATCTCGCCATCCGGCACCCGGATTCGGGGGCAGTGTGGCTGTGCTACATAACCGTCACCGACCCATTCTCCTCACCTCAAGACCCGACTGCAGGGCAGGCCGAAGGTCGGGACGCATCCGCAGCGGCACGGTCCGAGGAGCACAAGCACGGAAACCGCGTGGGCCAGGTCGGATTCCTAGAAATGGAGGTGGAGATGTATGGGGGCTGCTCCCCCGGGGTGCTTGAATTTCTCCGCCTCTGCGCCAACCTTGGGGCCGAGCGGCGCTACAAAGCAGGGCGGGGTTTACGGGTAGCCGAGAAGCTCTACCACTCCTACCGGCAGTGCTTTTCCGTCGCACTGCAGCGCGCCCTGGCAGACGCGCTCATGGGCAAGAGCTTGTCGGGCGTTGACGCCGGGGCAGCTTCTACACACTACCAGGAGGAGCCTCTTAGCCTCGGGGATCTCATGCAAGTGATTGTGCCGTGGTATTAGCTGCTGTGCTGTAGTCAGTTCGCCTTAGCTTTTATAACTGGATTCCTAGTGTGCTGTATCGACCACGTATTCAAATAATGGAAAATTCGGGACAGAGACAGAGACAGAGAGAGACAGGGGCAGAAACAAGAATAGGGACAAGGACAAAGACAGGGGAAGAGGCAACAAGGATGACAGGCTACATGTATGGTGGAGGCGGAAGAGGCGAGAGAGATGAGAGGTGCGAGGGAGAAGACAGAAATGAAGGATGCAACATTCAGGGCCTCAGTTATTAGTGCTAACAATATCTGATCTGTCGTGTGACTCTTATGGAATTATTGGAACCATCTAAAGAACAAAAAAGTTTTACACACTGAAAAACCAGTAACGGATTTCATTCCATATATAGTGGAATCCCAATCAAAAGTCTTTAGCATATATCTTACATTGCTGGACCAATAATTGAAGTATTTTAGATTTAACGGTCAGTTATCATTAGGCTGTTTCTACTTCCACTTCCATCTTGTACGCGTTTGCATCTCACCAGCTCCACCTCACTTCCCATCCCAACCCATGCGGTCCATGAAGTTGTCGCTCCCATACTCCTCCATCCAGCTGCTTTTCAATTCAAACCACCTGGCCAGCTGGACGCAACGCGGCTCGGCTGAAGTAGTTCAGAAACGCACGGTAAACCCTTGAACCACGCTCAACCCCGATAATATTCTTCCGTCGTGGGAGCGCCACCTACGAGTAGTGCAGAAGAGGCAGCAGCAGTACCAGAAGGCTCAAAATCTCGAAGGCCCAGCACGTACATAAAGGGACCACAACGATATCCTCCACTCTATCATTCTTTCGCACTTCTTCGTTTCGCGACCAGGTCAAGTGATTCTTAGCGTGATTCCATCTTTGCCCTCAATCCATGCTCCTCCATCGTCTCAGAAACCGCCTTCTCACTCCGTGAAGCTCACTGTCAACTTTGACCATCCAATCCGACGTTTGACTTGCTCAGCTTAGCATGGCTTACTGGAAGCGATCTGTTCTTTGCCTCGTCCTCGTCCTCGCGCTCTGCACGAGCGGCGCTCTCGCGGCGAAGAAGAGACGGTCGAAATCTTCAGTCTCCACCATTAAAACGCCGAGCATCGACAAGCTGCAGTTCGAAATGGACGAGGCGAACAAGCGAGTGGCGGAGGCCGCTGGCGAAATGGACGAGGCGAAGAAAACCGTTGACGAAGCCATGCGCGCGAAGAGAGTGGCGGACCAGGAGGTGCGGAGACAGAATGAGCGAATGGCGGAAGCGATTGCGGAAGCGGAAAAGGCAGAGGCGGAAGCCAGAGCGGCTGGATACGTTTTTTAGGGCAAGGCGCTGAGAGATGCGTGTGGACGTATCCAATCCTCTCGCCGCTCAGCCTGTCGTGGCTCAGCCTCGCGCGGCAGGATTCGTGTGACACGTCTCCCGGCGCAGGCACCTGCATTTCGCATCGCTTTTTGTTACGGTATATCCGTTGGGCATGTCCCATGGAAGTGGGGAAATAAGGTGACATTGACATACAATAAAAGACGACTCTAGGTACCGTACAATAATGGTTTGGCTCACGGGGCCTATGCTGTTTCTGCTGAATGACGGCGACTCTAGGTACAATGGCCTTATGTCATGAATCATGATTCTAATTGATGGAAGATTATTTTACTCATCCAGAGGTTTTGGGCACGACTCACAACCACAAAGTGTCTACGCTAGGACCACACACTGCATTTGCAGCAATTCATGCATGAACCATCCATTACTGAGGTTGCCGTTGCTACTGGTGTCGCCAGTGGTGCTGCTGTCCTCACTGAATCCCAGCTTCACTTGCAGGCATGAGCCAACCATTACAAGGAGGTTTACTTGTCACTGGTGTTGCCGTCACTGCTGGTGTCATCACTGGTGCTGCTGTCCTCACTGATGCCCAGCTTCGCTTGCAACTCCTTCACCTTGTTCTCCAGCTCATGCACCTGTGCCACTGCATTGAAAGGGGAGAGTGTGGAGAGAGGGACACACAGAGGAAACAGGAGGCATTGTGAGCATGCTTTGAGCAGCTCCTTCACCTTGTTCTCCAGCTCATTGAAAGGGGAGAGTGGCGAGAGAGGGACACAGAGGAGACAGCAGGCATTGTGAGCTTGCCTTGAGATGTCTATAACATGACATCATCCTTTTTGTTCAAGAATCTCAGCCAATGTGACCTGCAGAGTGTTAAGAGAGGCAAAGAGATGAGACATAAAAACAGTGGACATATATTGGCATGCCCGAAGCACGACTGAACACTCCCATCCAGGTGAGGCACTGCTGCTGTTGAGAAGCGTTGAACAAGATCAGAAGAGCCGTGCACTTGAGGGCCATATCAGAAGACTGTGCATGGCTGTAAATCAGAAGAGGCATGGAGCACAGTGAAGCGCAAGAGTTGCGTGAAGCCCAGCAACCAATCTTATCCCCACGTACAACCCAGATCAAGCCAGATCACGTGGACCCCTACATCCCTCACACCATCTTTCTCTCTGCACCCCATCATACTCCCCCCAGCCCAGGTCATCTCCTCCAACCCACTTTGCCAAGCCAACTCCCCATTCTCTCATCTGAATCACCTCGGGACACACATCTACTTTGTTTAAAAATGGAATCCGCCAACTTACTCAGTTCGCTCTTCTCCTTCACACTCGGTCAGCCCTCTGAATTTTGAGTCAACTCAAACGTCAACTCCTATCAAACGCGCCGACTTACTGAGTTGGCTCTTCTCTTTCTGGCGCTCAGCAGCGTTCTTGGCGGTGGTCTGCCTCCTCACGCTCCTCGCGCGTCTCCGTTATCTCCCCCCCCCCCCCCCCCCCCCCCCAATATGTGGAATCAAACGCGCCGACTTACTCAGTTCGCTCTTCTCTTTCTCCCGCTCAGCAGCGTTCTTGGCGGTGGTCTCCTCACACTCCGCCATCTTCTCCTTCATCTTCTCCCCCATCGCATGCGTCGCGTCAAACTTGTTCTCCGCCTCAAACCGCAGCTTCCTCAGCTTCCCCACACTCTCCTCACACTCCTCCACCTGGGGATTGCGAGACGGAAACAAACATAGGAGATTGCAAAACGGTTCCTTTAGAAATTCAAGCGCAGGTGACAACATGGGATGTGCTCTCCGCCTCGAATTGCAGCTTCCTCAACTTCCCCACATCATCCTCGCACTCCTCCACCTGGAAAGGGAGGGAGAGGCACTCGTTCATGTCGAGAGAGAGAGAGAGTGATGTTTGTGACTGCCCAGCTTCTTAGGATCGTAAACACCTTAGTCGGCAATAGTCTACTTGCTATTGCTTATCGTGTTCTCCACGATCTCCCAAATCCAACGATATGCGCAGCTCTGCTTGAAGTTGTCAATACACACTTCAGCAATTTCAGAATCTCAATGTTGTCCAATGTTGTCTTTCCGGAATGAGTACAAACAGGTTTATAGTCAGGCAAGACACAAAATGCGATTCGTAACTTCACTTGTTTCCCAAGTAACCGCGTGCGCCTCGTTTCACCCCGAGTCGCACACGCAACCGAACCGAATTCACCGAACACTCCTTGAGCCCGAATCTGGAAATTTCTCGAACACGCCTTGGTCTCGAACCACATTTTCCCCCGTCGAACTCATTCTCGATTCTTCTCCACTCTTCTTCCTTCATTTCTCCAGTTTCTTCCCGATTTCTCTCCCGCTTTTCACGCCTTAGCTTCCAACGTCCACCGTAGGCCGATTTCTACCGAAATCACTCTAGAATCTCCCACGAGCTCCATTCCGCCGCCATTCCGCATTTCACCGTAGGTTCCGTGGTTCGTCGAACCAACCCTAACAATCTCCCCTGTGGTTCGTCAACCACGAACTCCACTCGCACTCCTCCTCTGCTCCTTGTAGCCTTCACAGGGTCTAAGTCGGCTTCACGCTCCCCTGCAGCTCCTGCACCTTGAGCCTCTGCTTACGTGTCTTGAAGTTGAGCGCCTTGACATCCAAACCTTGAGAGATTTTCTTGATCCTCTCGCTGCTCCTCGGCATCTCAACACGCAACACCTCTCGGGTCTCATACCCCTCAACGTGTTCCTCTTTCGTAAGCACTCTACCCTTTGCAGTTGCATTCGCCTTTGATCCCTTCACCATGATGTCCCCTTTCACAGCGACTCCCACACACTTCGCATTTACTGCTTCATCTTCAACCACGATCGCTGCTGCAAAAGTGTTGACACCATCTCCATCTCCACCATTCACTGCTGCTGCCTCCATGGTGACTATCTCCTCTTCCTGCTTCTCTGCTGCCTCCACACTTGCTCCCGTATCATCCGTGTCCTCGCTCTTATCAGCCTCATTCGATAACTCCTCCAATTCTCCCATCTCAGGATACTCTCGGTCCTCATAGAACTCATCTATGCCCTTCATCGCGACCAAGTTCATCTCATAGAACCCGTCACTGAAGTAACCATCAGCATACTTCTCCCACTCAGGACCAAACACAGTCACCTCACCACTGTCATAGAATATCTTGCACCCCAAGTCATCAAGCTGTGACTGACTGACCAAGTTCACCTTCAAATCCTCAACCACCAGCACATTCTCCAGTCTCATCTCTCCATACGGACTCTGCAGCACCACGTCACCCTCTCCTGTCACTGGCAACTTCCCACTGTTACCTTGCAGTATATAATCCTCACTCGACTCCCTCACGTTCTCCATCCAATCTGACCTGAATGTCATGTGACACGTGCATCCGCTGTCCATGAACCATGCCGTCTTCTCATGATCGTCCGTCTGCCGAACCTCCTTTGGTAAACGCACCACGTTCGTACGATGCGCTCCTCCAAGGATCATATCATCCTCGTTCGCTTCTGCTACATTCGCCTTAGCCGCCACATTCCTCTGCTGCGACGGACCCTTGTAGCTCCTGCTGTTCGGATTGGAGTAGCACTCTGCGGCACGATGCCCATAGCGCCCACAATAATCGCACTTGCCGCCAAAAACTCGTTTATGCTGCCACTCCGCTCCCTCATTTTCTCCTTTATCGTTCTCCATCGCTTTGCCCTTGTAGTTTCTGCTTCGCGGGTTTTCGTAGCAGTTTATCGCCTTATGCCCCCTTTTTCCACACTGGTAGCACGCTCCAAACGCCTTCATTGCATTCACCATAGCCGGCCTTTCCTCGTCGAATTCCTTAGCTGCTGCTGCCGCTTTCTTTTTGCTCATCTCCTTCATCGTCTCAAGCGACTGTAGAATCTCCTGCAGCTTCGTCAAACTCTCCGGCGGTTGGTACGTAAACATACCGATGTCGGATTCCCACTCCTTAGGAAGGCCTTGGATGATATAGTCAATCATCTCATGCTCCGTCTCCGCGGCTCCCATCACCCGCAAATCGTCATTGTAGCTTTTCGCCCTGTTGATGTAGGTGATGATTTTCTCGCCTTTCTCCATGCTCAGCATCAGCAGCTGCTTCCTGATCGCCTTCTTGTTGACATCGTTGGTGCCCATGTACGTGGACTCCAGGTACTCCCATGCTTTCTGTGCAGAGTTCGGCTCCCCTGCAAACTGGTTCAAATCCACCGCGATTCCATCGGCAACTGAGTGACAAAGCTGAAAGAACGCTTGCTTACTTTGTTTCTTGAACGCCGCTATTTTCTCCTTCGTATCCGTCGTGGAAGGCGCAACTCCCTCTATCGTCTCCTCGTCGGGACGGTAGTACGGCAAGAGGTCCACCTCCTCTGCCCTCCGAATGAACTTCTTCCGCCACACGTTGTAGTTGCTCCCATTGAAGCGCTGAGCTTCACTGAGCCCGATCGTCGGTTTCGCCACCAATCGGCCACTCGCAAGGGCCTCGAGAAGAGCCTTCAACTGCGGGTCTCCAAGACTCACACTGGAACCCGAACTCGCCTCGTCTCCCATAGCGTAGGCGTGAACGACTCCTCTTCTCCACTAATTTCACTTAGCGCACCAAGTGAATTCGCGACGATCGACGAGCCCGTTCGTCAACCTCTGATACCAGTTCTTAGGATCGTAAACACCTTAGTCGGCAATAGTCTACTTGCTATTGCTTATCGTGTTCTCCACGATCTCCCAAATCCAACGATATGCGCAGCTCTGCTTGAAGTTGTCAATACACACTTCAGCAATTTCAGAATCTCAATGTTGTCCAATGTTGTCTTTCCAGAATGAGTACAAACAGGTTTATAGTCAGGCAAGACACAAAATGCGATTCGTAACTTCACTTGTTTCCCAAGTAACCGCGTGCGCCTCGTTTCACCCCGAGTCGCACACGCAACCGAACCGAATTCACCGAACACTCCTTGAGCCCGAATCTGGAAATTTCTCGAACACGCCTTGGTCTCGAACCACATTTTCCCCCGTCGAACTCATTCTCGATTCTTCTCCACTCTTCTTCCTTCATTTCTCCAGATTCTTCCCGATTTCTCTCCCGCTTTTCACGCCTTAGCTTCCAACGTCCACCGTAGGCCGATTTCTACCGAAATCACTCTAGAATCTCCCACGAGCTCCATTCCGCCGCCATTCCGCATTTCACCGTAGGTTCCGTGGTTCGTCGAACCAACCCTAACACAGCTTCTCCTCACAATCCTTCACGCGGTCATCGGCGTGCAGTAATAGGCATTCAATCATAGGCATTCAGTCATAGGCATCCAGCCATAGGCATTCAGTCATAGGCATTCAGTCATAGGCATTCAGCCATAGGCGTTCAGCCATAGGCATTCAGTCATAGGCATTCAGTCATAGGCATTCAGTCATAGGCATTCAGCCATAGGCGCGCAGTTCTCGGCACGCAGTGAGAGAAGAAAGGGCGGGGAAGGAGAGAAGGATATGTGCGAGGCTTGGAGTATGCGCGCAGCAGCTTGAACAAAGAGAAGGGTAAATCTAGTGTGGCAGCTTAAACGGAATTTGCCAGTCCCACGCGCTCATCTCCCCTGGGGCCGGGCCAGACCAGAGGCCTCGTCAGCGCGCAGTGAGAGGTGAGGCGGGGAATAACGCTTGGGACACTTAAAACACATTTTTGAGAATTCTCGAAAATTTCTCACTGGGCCAGAAAAGAACCCTCGTTGGCGCGCAGTGAGAGGAGAGGCAGGAATACCTCTTGAGACGTCTCCAAAGATTGTTGACAATTCTCGATTTTTTTTCTCACTGGGCCTCGTTGGTGCGCAGTGAAAGGAGAGGCGGGAATCACTCTTGAGACGTCTCGAAAGGCGTGCAGTCAGAGGTGACGCGATGGGAGGGGACTTGAATGAAGCGACGGAAGCGCGGGGGAAGGGATGGGGAAAGGTATGCGTATGAATGAGTAGTACCGTCTTCCGCGCGTCATCCGCGCGGAGCTGGTCCTCATCGGCGCGCAGAATGCACCCCCCTCAGACCTTCCCCCTCCACGCGCTCCTCGTCACTCTCGCCTCGCACCTCATCTAGAATGTCGTCTCAGTCTTCGGCGCGCAGCCTGCTGGTCGTCAATCGGCGCGCAGCCTGCTGGTCGTCAACCGACACGCAGAATTCACCCCTTCGCCGCTCCTCATTCTCGCCACGCGTCATTCTCACCTTATCAAGGATTGCGTCGCAGTCCTCGGCGCGCAGCGGGGTGACCAGCAGGCTCGCGACGAGCAACAGCAGCAGCAGGAGCGCGAGGAGCGCGGGAAGGCGAGCGGCACTCATTTCGTCGCGTAGACGAGTCGAAGCTCGCAAGACGCGGAAAGCAGAGGAGAGCGAAAACAGACGGGCGGATCGGGACGGAGGGAGGAGCAAGCGCGGAAGAGAGCGGGAACGATAGACAGCGATATATATTGAACGAGAAGCAGCTATATATTAGTAAGGCGCTCCTCCTGCTAGCGACGCTGATTAGTAGGGAGCTAATGCTAAGAGTCGTAAGAAAATGGCGACTTAAAACCCAGGGTCCACAGGTTTCAAAGGTAGGAAGGTTGGTCGGACTTAGAGCGTATTCATATCCTCGTATCAAGAAAACCTCATATCAAGATTGTACTTTTTGCCTGGTAAAAGTAGCGAGAGGTTTTGGGTTTAGGGGAATTTTCAGTGGGAGGTTGATATGAGGTTTTCTTGATACGAGGATAGGAATACGCTCTTAGTGACAAAACCAAAGGTAGGAAGCTTGGTTGGACTTTGAAACCCAACCAAAGGTAGGAAGGATGAGGCAACTTTGGGATACTTGAGACTCCGGTTTTAAAGCCCGAGTCTAGAATGGTAAGGGTTCAACTTCAAGATTCTTGAACTTGTGTTCGTCAAGAACAGGGTAACCAGGTTCAGAAAGCTGATCTCTCGCGACTCACCGAGAAGGGAGCTGGTGGGCCAGAAGGTGATTGGCCAAATGCCCCTCAGCAAAAACACCAACGAGCCTCGCGAGAAACAAGCAAGGACAAGTACCACTGTTCACACTTTCGGAACTTGAAACTCGAGAACACCTTTCTAGACTCGTAGTATAGTGGGCTCCATAGATCACTCGCACGAACCGCACGCGTCTTCGCGTTGTCTGGCCCACGTGATCATGGGGAATTGGAGTTGACGAAACAGTTTCGCCAACGACAACCAATGACCGCCCAACTGTGACGAAATTCTTTCCTCACACATCCATCCGCTTGCAACTGTCATTGAGAACACAGCAGCGCAACCCTCACAACAGGTCCACGTCAGTCACGAATCTTCGTCATTCAGTGCACTTGGTGCTGGTGACTCGTTGTCTGTTTTGAGAGAAACAAGGAACCTCGAATTCAAAGGCAATGCAATGTCACATGGAATTTTGGACCATCTGCGTGGGTCACCAACCTGGTCAAGATATTCGCGACAATTGCTGCTTAGCCGTTAAAGGCACCTGTACAATACAATCTTCTTCGTTATTGGTACACCACCCATTATAATGTCCCAAATTGAGACTACTCCTGATTCTTCCCGCATCTTTCGACCAATTGCTTCTACGAGGGTTCTCATAACAGGCTTCGGACGGTTCAGCCAATACGTGTGTTTGAATAGTGAGGACTAATTTTGAGTATTGGGATGTCAAGTGATTCATGGTTAATTATTTTAACGATATGTGACACAGCGAAGAATAATCTGTCTTGCTGTATTACAACCCGTAGTGAAGATTCATGTCCAGTCCGATGCGGGGAAAATTTAAAACTAAAAATAAATGAATAACAAATAAAATAAAAAAAACGATCCGCCAGCATAGCAAGTCTTGATGTTCGCCATCGCGACCTCAATGACAGGTCACACACAGATGTTGCCGAGCTCGTCACGTGGTCGACCCCTCGACGAGCCTCGCACGCCTCCATAAAGTCATCGTCCGGGAGGTCATTTGGTCGACCAGGTCGACCAAGCAGCGCACGATGCTTTGAAACACAACCTTGGTCGACGGCCTGTCCGTCGACCACTAGATCAGCTGCTGTTGACGA